TACAGTTCTATTTCTTTCAGTTAGTTGCTCCAGTACGTGAATTTAACACTGTTCTTCTTTCTCCAGTCTATTGCTTTGTATCTTACCAACACAAAATAAGTTCTTAATTTATTATAAATGTAAATTTCCTCTTGTGTACTTACACTGTCTTACCAATATTAATTCCAGCTCAGTCTATAATTCCCTATAATCGTAATCCATTCTGCATGGCGCCAGGTATGTGGATTTAATAATGTACCTTCGTACTTGATTTTCTTTATTACTCTGTTCTATTACATGTTAACAAATAAAGGCTGCATTCAGAAAACTCTACATTTGTGAACGAGTTATTTTCATAACTTTTATTTCACAGACGTACAGAAAACTTTAAAATTATAACAAACAACTGATATTCAAAATATGGATTCAATCTGTATTTGTTAAATTCATATATGTGTTAATTCTAATGTTGCAAAATAAAAATAATTATATTTTTATATAGGGGACCAGACAGGGAATGGAAATTTTAAATTTAACATTTTCCTTACAACATTTCACTGTACAAATATAATCAGAAAAGTGTCCCATTATTATACAATATAGTGAATGAGAAAATAAAAAAAACAAATATAGAATACATAAATCATGTGTACGCATTAAATTTTCAAATTATTAAATGTTTACTATCTCTGAGACCAAATGGAGTAATGAAATTGGCAAATGTAACCTTTTTACAATTTCAAGATTATAACAACATTAATAAAAAATTGGCAATGAATAAGATTTTTATTATAACATGACTTGATACTTTATACATTAAGTCTTATCATTCATCCTGTTTCAATCATTATCATCACTTTAAAAAATTAACAATCAACTAGATTTTCTCTTCTCCCAGATTTGGTTTGAATACAAATAAGTTAACTCACAATGTAATATTACATACTGCACATCAAATTTCAGGGGCATCTGTTCATAAAGAAATTTTATAATCACATCAGCCTTTTTCATCTTCAAATGATTTTCTAATTTAAATCACTTTCAACAAATTTAAACTGAATGTGATTTTTACTATAACTTGGCTTTGCACTATTCACCAAAATGTTGTTAATTATACAATACAGTAAACTCTCGATCATCCATCATTAGATGTTTTACATTTGCAATAGAACGTAACAAGTAATTTTATCATCAACTCTGCTGTTTTGTTAATACATTGTTCTTGTGCAACTCTTATGAAAGGACAGCAATTACATATGGAAAAATTCAGTTTCTTCATCACTAACTCTCCTTCAGTCTCCCTCTTCAATCCAACAAAATTAATAATCAAGACTCTACTGCATATTATATGCTTTGAATACGAATTCAGTGAAAGGTTAACACAGAAAAACATAAATATCACATAACTTGTTCAAAAAGGAATAAAAGTGAGATGTTATGAAAGAATGAAATACAAATCATACAAAAACAAACAGGAATTCACATGAAAGTTCTTTAGCTTCATAATGAACTTAATATATCTAATGGCTCGTGCTGTTTACGTCTGCTACTTTTGAAATGTCCTGACTTTACTTCATATTTCCGTGGCGTAGCACGATATAGAGACTGAAGGTACTCATCCTTTGTTCCTCCAGTTCGTACCTACAAATATTGAAATAACGAATTCAATTTACATTCCTGTAAACTTAAAACAATGTTACAGCAACAAGTCACCATATCATGTATATAATTGTATTAATATCTCCACTGGAAATCCATTCCCCATATACATCTCTTCTCTCTTACAAAGGATATGTGAGGCTACTGCATAACACGTCATTTTCATCTGTGTTTCCTTACATTATATATAACAGTAGGACTCTGATTACATATAAGGACTAGGACACTGTTATTAAAGCATAAAAGCTCCACTCAACCTCCATCCTATTTTCTCTAATGCACAGAAAAGCAACCTTGCTGCAAACTAGAAAGGAAGCTGTGTTGATCCTAGACTCATTCTGAAATGGTTATAGACAAAAGTTAGGATCAAGTCCTGGGACCAAAACTTATAAGCATAAGGCAGTGGTCCCCAACGCGGTGCCCACGGGTGCCATGGCGCCCGCCAAGGCTTTTTTTGGGTGCCCGCGTTGTTATGGAAAGAGGTTATAGTGAATAATGAAGGCCGTTCAACCATGAACATTATAAAATCAAAGCGCAGATCTCAACTTACCGATGCCCATCTTGACGATCGTTTGCGAGCAGCAACATCATCCTACACTCCCAAATTTGAAAAACTGGCCGATGAAATGCAGTGCCAAACATCACACTAACTTCCCACTTGAGTAATAATAATTGTACTTTTGAAAGTACGTATTTTTGATTGTACGGTTTCTTGTATCATTAAACGTCGTGTTGTTTTGTGTATTATTTGGTGTCCATATCTTATTTGTCCAGAGAAAAGAAAATTTGGCTTTGTTAATTGGATGGTGCCTGCCACGATCTCATAAACTCTCAAATGTGCCCATAGGCACAAAAGGTTGGGGACCACTGGCATAAGGCAATTATGACTTTCCAGGTTAACCCTATGTGCCTGATAAGGAAGTTTTTATTTACTTTTTCTGATTGTTGGTATACTTCTAACCTCCTTTTCTTTCCAGGATCTGAAGACTGCAGTTTACCGATTTTCTTCACAGAACCGAATCTCTTCTGTTGAAGAAACCAACAGTAAATATCACAAAAGTTATTTAGTATTTTGCTACTGATAACTGTCTTAGAGCAAGAGTTTCCATGCTCATTTTTTCAACAGAATTCAAACAATTTTAGGACCATCACAAAATAACTACAAACTGAATTAATATACAAACTTACATCAGACAAAAAAATCATCAACGAAAGACAGGTTTGCATTAAAGAGTTTGACACATCGCCAAACAGAATAACAAAGCTTATTTATTACAACAGTCCTGCGGTTTCATCAAGCTTAAAACTGAAAGCACGTTATACGCCACACAGAAGACTACAAAATGTAGTGTGCCAATCCCAGCATTAAAATAAACAATGTGTAACCAGGTACTAATGAATGTATAAACATGTGGAAAATGTAGGTGCTTCACTTACTATAAGATCACAATAATCAATACTGCTACGATCACTGTCACTTGTAATATCTTTATCCTCAAATTTAGCCTTCACATGTGGCTGACTAGAAGAATAAGCCTATAAAAAAATCAGCATCAGAAATATTATATAGTAATCAACATTAGAGACAAACCTATCACTGCTTAATATACACAGCAGATCAACAAGTTGATATAATTGTGTTGAAATAAATAAACTGTTTTACTCAATCACTTTACATATACAATGCAATGTATAATATACTTAAATTGAGGAGTAAAGTTTTTGATTTAATTTTTGTTTCCTGTGTGTGTGTGTGTGTGTGTGTTGCGTAAAAAACACTAATACCACCACATTTTATTCTGGTATTAGATATAAAATATATAAATTACCTTTGAAAAAGATTTAGGAGCAATAAATATCTTGTGAACCTGGATTATCATTCATACAATACTGTACAAGAAATCCAGAAAGAGTGGAAAGAACATCTATGTATAATACCATCTAATAGATTCCAATGGTATGTTCTAACTTGAACAGCTGAATTTACATTGTAACATATGTGTTCAAAAACATAATATTTTAATATCTAAGGTAATAGTTTATTTATATGTATAATACATAGATGTGCTAATAAGTAGCACTTTTGATTGTCCATGAGAAAGATGAAGGACCAGTTTACATAACAGCAAAATCTGATATTGGTCAATCAATGTGCCAGCATAAATATTAACATTAATCTTTAAATTTTACACCTTCTGTTCTCATTTCTTACTCCACGACCATTAAAAAACAGCATTCTCCATTTCTCTTGCCTTTTGTGAATAGATTAATTTGATTCATATATTATGTAACAATGCTGTTTCATCCACATGGGTTATGTACCACCAAATATGGCTGTAATTTTAACTGTAATATTAACACTGGAAAATACAGTCAATTCTAAACTATTCAGCACAATGATGTCAAGTTAATATATATTTTAGATATCTGTATCAAACTCAAGGTCACAGTGGCCGCGCGGACTGAGACGCGTGCCTTGTGCCGCTTGGTCACTGGGGCCGTGGGTTCGAATCCCACTCAAGCCATGGATGTCTGTCCGCGTTTTTCTGTGTTGTGCTGTCTTGTGTACAGGTAGAGGCCTTGGGACGGGCCGATCCCTCGTCTAAGGAGTCCTACCAAATGTCTATAGATCAAAGCCAATGAAAGGTTGGGACCCGCAGTGCTCAGGCACTTGAAGAACGGGTCGTCAATGTATCAAAGTAAAGTAGTATCAAACTCAGAAGAATCAACTTGCTTTAGTGTAATCCCAGTATGAGATATTTTAATATCTTTAATATATGACCAACAGTCAGAACAAGGTTAAACTTTCAGACTGAAGTAAATTTTCAAATACCTGTACAGAAGTAGAGACTTGTTCACAGGTTTGAGATTTACTCAAAATTTCAGACTGAGTTATCTCATTCTCCAAATCCATTTGCAGCTGCTTTATTTTACATTCCAACATCTTCCTTTGAATTTCTGAATCCCTTTCTATTGACTCCTAAACACAGAAGTAAATACTCTTTACAAATTGTTTGGTATCATTAATGGTTACCAACATTATACTGTTTTCTGGTCAGAGGATATCAGCATTAAGACTTTTTAACATTATCAGTCTGGACACTTACCTTCTTACATAATTTCAACACATCACATTTCTATGGAAAGTGCACAAACACTAGAAAATGTTTACTGTCATTCAACTGATAATGAGATTTCTATAAACCCTCCTATATGAAAGCATAAATATTAAAATTAAACTGCCATTTTAAAGCTTAGGTTTGTATGTTGCTAGTAAAATGAAAAAAAACTCTTCAGACAATTACTGGTAATATGATATAATTGCACTAATTTCAATCATTCCAATAAAAATAAAGAATGTTTGTACAAAAATTATTTTAAACAATACAGTTATAGGCTATCATTTAATGTTCAATTATGTTTAAAAGTATATGTGTATTTTATTATAATTATGGTGAAAAAAGGGAAACTCAATTCTTTTTCCAAGAGAAAACATCAATACTGTACAAACAACAACTGAAATATTAACCAAAATTAATATATTCCATCACAGCTGTACATTATAAGTGACTGAAAAGACTAATTCTTCCCCAAAATAAATTTAAATATCGATTCTAGAGAAATAATACACCTACGAAGAATATCTTTAACAAGATACCGATAACAGGCTAACCATAAATCCCAGAAGTGGTGGTGCTGACAGCTAAGCAATGATGATTATGATGATAAAAGTTCATAAAATTAGAAACTGCTTCGCCAATTTTTAGATTGTTTCAAAACAAAGGGACTCAAAATTGAAACTAAAAAATTTAGAACTAATATTTATTTCTTAAAACTAAAGAGTGATTTAATGAAATGTGCACCTTATGATTAATAATATTATGCAACTTCTCCTTCAGATTGAAATTCATTTTCCTTTGTGCATCCAATTCAGCTTCTTTCTCATCTGCCTGCTTTATTGAAGCATTTCTGCACTCGCGAAGGCCTCTCATAATTTCCTGTAACATAATATAAGTGCCAAGGATAAGATGTTTAACATTATTTACAATGAATTTAGATTCTTGACAGCTTAATCAACCACAAAATCTGAATAACATTCAAACCAGGTAATAATTCCTATAATGAATTTGATATTATTACCTGTCTTTTTCCATCACGTTCCAAGTCCCTCTTCTCTTGTTTCTCTTTCACAGCTTTCGTTTCTTCTCTTGTTTGGTTTACTGCCATCAACATTTCTTTTTTGTAATCTGTATGTTCCTGAAGTTTCCTTTCAGTTTCCTCCCTTAACTTTTTAACCTCACTTTGTCTCACCATCAAAAATTTGTTCACTTCTTCCAATATTGTCTTTTCCTCTTGTATAAAGGACCTCAGTGTTTCCATTTTTGCTTCTTCATCTGCCATATTGGTCTTCAAACTTTGTAACTAAAGCAAATATCAATAACTGCTTACGTTATTACTTAAAATATCATGAAGTGAAAGGATTTGTGGGGTTATGTATTTTCAGACACATACTATTATGAAGAAGGAACCAGGACAGCTCAGACAGTATAGTAACTAGGTTATGTACTGGACAACCAGGGTTGAATTCCCAGGACAAAAGGTTTTTCTCTTAGCTACAGCATCCAGATTAATTCTGGGACCCACCTAGCCTCCTATACAATGGGTATCAGGGGTTCTTTCCCCATGGGGGTAAAGAAGACGGGCATAAACCTGACCACTCACATCCATCTAGTGCCAATATAAAAAAAAGTGGAGATATAATTCCACTCTGCCAAACATCTTCATGGCATGGTGCTTAGTTAAGCACGATTTTACCTTACCTTTATGCTATTATGAAAAACAGCAAAGAAAACAAAAGGTGTCTACAAGCACAAAAGGCAGAACAGAGAAACTCAAAAGTCTCAATGGGTGTTATACATCCTGTTGTTAATGTACAGATTAAGTATGTAATCAAACTACACCATTAAGGCAACAGTGTTGTACATAGTAGATACCAATATTTTGGAGAAACACAGCTGAAGATAGAAACAATGTTTCTCCAAAACATTGGTATCTACCTACAACTCTGCATGGTATCACAAGCAATAAGATCATCATCATTTTCTTCTTCTTCTTCACCACTGTGAGGAATTCAAATCTTACACCAAGAAGCTTTTAAACACTAACATAATTAATATATGTATGCACTGAATGAGGATGCCTCTTTTAGCAATTGCTCAGATTAAGCCTCCTGGGTAAACACACAGATACCAAAAACAAAGAGGGAGAGAGGAAAAAGTAGAAAACTTATTCATGTGAACAGTTTGTGTACTTTCTACTTATTATGAAAACACACCTTCAATTGATGACTCTTCATGGCTGAATTTTCTTCTACAAATTCTTGCTGAAGTACATTAACAATATTATTCTGATCTTTTATCTTTGTGTGTTTTGCATCTGCTTCTTTTCTATGAATTTCTAGTGCAGATTCTAAATCTGAAAGCTCAGACCTGTACCTGTTACTAATTGTCTGATTCTCTGTTCTGAAAGACCAAAATCAATTAATTAGCTGTTAAGCTCTAAAGGAGTTTAAGCTTAGTTTATCAAGATGAAAACTAAAACACACATAATATAGTGTAATGGTATTCCATACTTCAGTATACATTGTAGTTAAAATTAGAACATAACAATACTGTATATCTATCTCACAACAGTTTCATTAATAATCTAATTTCATAATAAAGCAGCTATTTTTCTATAATAACGTGCTCTTTCTGCTATAAAGTTTGAGTCGGTGGCTATGATGTGTTTTGAAACACAACTCTGGCAACCAGATACGCTTTCATTTAAAATGTGTAAATGGCATCAAGTACTAAGACAGTCACTTCAGTTTCTGCTGCCAGTTCTACTACCAGGGCGTGAGTGAGTGAGTTACTTAGTTAGTTATTTAGTTAGATAGATATACTAATTATTATTTGTGCAGTATCAAGGACATGGATAATTACGTTATTAAATTCTGTAAGTTCTCGCATTTACGCATCTTCCACTGACATATTTTAACTCTGGGATTATGCAGGGCTTTTTTCTTGATGTTAAAATAACATCACTAGTAAAATAAGACTATGCACACAGAGTATGCTCCCACTGAATTCAACTACCATGTACTTTAACAAGAAATGTCTGCTTCCTACAAAGGTGCCACATTAAAACCATTAAGAATCACAATACATTCAACAGTTTAATCCTGAAATGGTAAAAGAGAACCATATCATACATACTGGATAATTTCCAACTTCACTGTCAAATTGGTCAAATCTTGTGTTAAACATGCATATTTAGTTCTAGTGTCTTCCAGCTTTCTGTTCACATCTTTATGTTTATCTTCATATTGAGACATTTGTTGTAGTAAATCTAGATTTTCTTTTTCATATGTGTCTTCCTGATTACGTGTTCCACTATTTTCTGTTTCATGACAGGTCAGTCTTTCTTTCACAGTGTTTAGCTCTTCGTTTAGCATCTTTAATCAAGAGATATAATTAAAAGTCTGACAAGATTGTAATATACAAAAAAACAAACCAATAAATGATGGCAACTGATGATGATGATTCAACTTTAATTTCCATAAATGTCTAGAAACACATAAAAAACCTTACTTTGAAGAGAAGTTTCCACAACTGACATTCAGTCAAGAACACTGACATATATTAATCATCTGAAGTGACATGTATGAAAAAGGCTGAGACCTGACAAATCACTCTATTTTAATTCAAGTAAAATATGAAGGAATGTATATGTGATTTCCTGGTTACTTACTTTCTCCTCATTACTGACTGTCTCAAAAAATTCTTCCAAGTCAATAACCTGCCTCTTGATACAATCTCTTTCAACTGTGATGCTATGTAATGAATCCTCAAGTTCCTTTTCCTTACCCTTATAAGAGTTTACTTCACTTTCCAGAGTCTCATTTTTATACAAAAAGAAATGTAAACTTTCATAAGCATGTCCCAATTTCTGCAAAAAATAACAGGTATATAACTATTCAGCAAAATACCCCAATACATACAGTACATACAGCTTAGATATTTAGTATTTGTCAAACTACCTACCACCAAAAGTGTGACAAAGTTACTAATTTTATTTTCATGTGAATTACTTTTTCTCGCAAAACTTGTAGAGAAACAGGTCTACAATCAACAGGAAGGGAATGAAGAATCATAACCACCTTAGTAACTGAAAATTTGAGAATACTTAGCCCTATGATGAAATTTTATTTTGTACCAGCAGGGACTTCACAAACAACTACAGTACAGCTCTGGAGAACATCTATTAACCTATCCAATAAATTATCTAGGTACTTTCCAGAGCATTAAAATTATCACTCACTTCAAGGTCTAAGATTATATATACTTCTACTTCCATAAAAAACTGAAGAAATTTCAGTACCTCTTTCAAGTTCAACTCTTCTTGTGTAATACTTATGTCTAATTCTTCATCCTGAACATTCAATGAAGAATACTTCTCCTCTTCATTGTTTAATAAGAGCATCTTCTCACTTAAACACTTAACTTGCCCCTGGTAGTTACTGTTAGCATTATTAATTTCACTGATTCTAAGCTGATGTTCTTCTTCAACTGAAAATTTAAATTACTACTAAAAGTGTTCCTTAGATAGGTACATAATATTGCCAAGATAATTAGCACATGCCATATCAGTATTTTCAATAGATAATACAAGTTTCAAACAAAGTCCCACACTTACAATTTTCTGAAACAAGTTTATTGCAGATCTAGTAATATGAAATTTAATATGTAAATTTAATTTGTGGTTTATTTAATTATTATAGTGCTGCTGATCTGTGTGAGATTAGCTCCTTCTAATGGGCCCAACTGTGAAGGTTCACAGGTTAATGACAATTGAAAAAGTCCAAAAAATTTAAATTAGTAATTCATCACCATCATCGATAACTTTTAAAGACAAATCTTACCAGTTTTTTTTAAACGCTCCACATTATTTACATATTCCACAGCCAATGCCTTACGATTTTTGCGTTGAGTTTTCAGGTCATTTGTAAGCAAAGCATACTGAACACAAAATTCATTTCTAAGCTTTTCAACCTGTTCAGCTGTGAAATGTAACTTTTCATAGTGTTCTTTGAGAAGTTTGCAGATCTCCAATGTATTCGTAATCCTGAAAGTGCAAAATGATAGAGATATGGATCTTCATTATTTAAGCAATATCTTGATCACCTACAACTACAGTTAGGTCAACATTACCCAAGTCCCTGTTACCTGAGGTAAAATATGGCACATGAATAAGATAAGACAAATTTTAAAATAAAGTATGGCTCCTATCTATAGTCTGTATGTAACAAATCACTACATAGCAAAAATGTATGTGTAAAGGAAAAATCTAAGTCCTATAACACATGTACCGAACTTGATAAATCCTTTATTATCAAGACACCCCTGCATGGAATAACTAAAAAAATCACAAATAAGTCCCATCATCACAATCACTCTCCTACCAATACAGTAGCTACCAACAAATTTCAGTTTATCTCATAAAGGGTAAAAGATAGAAGCAACCCAATGCTGTACATACACTTCGTGTGTGACAAAGAGTTTAATACATTAATAATACCAATAAATACAAAATGAATACTGAATGACATATGCACAATTAAATAACATATAGTTGTGTGTTTGTGTAAGTTAGTAAAACATCATAAGTTCCCACTCACACTTTTACTACCACAATGTCATGGTCTGTGTGTTAAAACAATAATTTAAAATAACACACAATACAGACTCACATAAATGTATATCAACCACTACAAATCCCAATATTAATGCATCATCTTCAGGTGATTAATCGAGAATCTCTCTCTGCTCCCTAGCACTGAAAAACAATAGGTGATATACATTTATGTATGTGGATAGCAAAGGTAGGTCATTACCAAGGTTTCATTGTCATCACTCTTCAACTTTATTCTTGAATATTTGAATTTTCACTGATCATGTTCATTATTTAAAATAACTGTTACCCACAAGTAACATCAGATAAAACAGTGGTTACTAAAAATTAAGGGATTGCTCATCTCTAATGAAGTATGCATAAACACTTAGGTGTATCCCGTGTGTAATGTAAACCTTTCCACACATTTCTGAAGTCTTACCTTACAGCTTTTCTATCATATGATTTCAGCTCAAGGTCCTTCTCTTGACTTAAGCCTTCATTTTCCATTTGAATTTCTATAGATCTGATTTTAGCTATTTTATCTTGTTCATACAATTCTTTTATCTTGTAATCAATATCAAGATACTGTATTTTCTTCTCCACCTGATATTTCATTAAATTAATAGCTTCTGCTGTCACTTTTGTCACAACACTCTCAGCTTTCTGTACAAGATCTGGATGATTACTCTCACACAGTAATGAAGTACCAGCATATTCCTGATGTTCTAAACCAACATCTGGATCAGGCTGTAATCCATTTTCAGCTTGATGCAACTGCTCTTGTATATTCTCATGTGACTGCAGCTGTCTTTGTCTACAGTTCTGTTGCTCAACCTAAATTTAATTATTGAATACTGTTAAACAACTGAAAATACTAATATAAAAAACCAATATGTAGAGAGAAGACAGTGGAAATGTTTAAAGTTTGGGGAGAATAAACTACAAAGTGAAACACTGAGTGGACAAAATGTTGAGAGGTAAATTATTCCATCTAACCCTACACTTTCAATGTCTCTGTACCAAACAGATTTTATATGTCTTAAGTAAACATAACTGACATAATTCTGATTTCACTGCTAGAGTAACTTGGAATGGTAAATAATTTCAGACTGAATGCCATTCCCAGAAGAGGCACTAGAATTTATCAGTTTACCTTTATACCCAAACCTATTCAACCTCCTACCAAAGCAATACTGTGGTGCACTTACCACAGTGCTGACCATTCACTTCCTGCTACTGCCAAATCTGATAATAAATGGAGTTGTACTTCCACGGGGAACAATTTTCATGCAAGTTTGAAAATGTAGGTCAATGCTTCACAATAACTTGATATTGTCAACATAATTAATTCCCATTAAACCCATCAAAATTAATAAACTACACTGACAAAAAAAATGTTAAAAATATAAACACAACTTCACCACAGATTAATAATAAACTAATAATTAAATAGCCACAAAAGAATTCACTTACATTTTTGTATTGCATAAGAACATAAAAATATATTTTCCTATATACCATTTTCTTCAGGGTATATCCATAACTACACACACATGAAACAAAAAAGTGCTTCATTTCTCAGAAATATATTTGTTTTCCTCTGTCAATACCAGCTCAAAAAAAAAATGTACACACAATTTTCAGAACTACGCAAGAAATAGTTCTAATAAAAGTGACTGTATTACCCCATTAAAATGAATACATACCAAACTAGATAAGATAAAAGGTAGGACCTAAATAAAATAGCTGTTCAAGATCAGAAAGCTAGCTAAAACAAAGTGACTTCTATAAAACGTGCACACAAACAATGCCAAAAATGACTTCTCTTAAGTTAAAACATTAAAAGCCCCACAATCTGACAATAGCTTGTGCGTAATCTTTCCAGTTTCTGATGCCCTATTCATTCACTGACTTTAAGTTTCCACAGTGCTCCATGTGCCCTTTTCATGTTTAAAACCACTTCAGAATGTAACTTTAAAGAAAAAGCATGTGAATAACTTACAGATTTAGTCATATTTGTGGGTTCCATTCTGAAAGTTTGCCTGTTCTGTTGGTGAATGTTTCCACTCTCTGAAGATGAATAACCTTCCACTTGATGAAGATCCATGCTAGTGACGTGCTGTCCTAATCAGTATTTTGCCTTCTAACAAATATTTCATACATACATAAACATTATCATTAAAGAGTTAATGTGCAGTCACCAAAAACAATAAAATTCTAAACTGGGCTGTTATATTTCCCAAGACAGTAAATCCCAAATAGCCCATTGTTCAAACTCCAAACAAACAAGCAGTTTACCATGCCATGCAAAATCTGTGCTGAGAAGTTTTTTAATGGCATGAATTACAACAACTTCTAAAAACAGAAGGTAGTTTAAATGTCTTAAAACTGTACCTGTTTTGGAATTATTTCATATTACATGGGATTTTGACAATATTTGATCATGGAGAGTACTGATAAAGATAAGGCTCAATTTATGCCCTACCCAGTAAACAAGACAAAAATAATAAAAAGATAACTATTCAAATGCTACATCATTTTCAAAACAGGCCATGACACATGTAACATTCCAGTAATAACATAAAATTGATACAGCAGAAAGCCTGGAAGACAAGACGTGTAGACTGTCCCAGAATAATATTACCATACCATTTTTTCATCCGTTATTTATGGCACACTAGCAGAAATGTATAATAGCAAGCAAAAAACGGTAATAGTGTCAAAAAGGGGTAACATGAGTAATATAACAGTTACTTGCTGTACATTGCAATATTTACTTTCAGTACTTGTAATGCAGATATTCTGCAATGTGGTATCATTATTCCAAGAGACTATATATAGGCAAATCCTAATCCCTACACTCTGGCAATCTAGGGTAACGGTACGTTTTTAGGATTACTGGAAACATTCTACAAAACTCAAAATAATTTATGAGATGCATATAAACTTAGTTGAAAAAACAACATAATTTACTGCTTCTTTTAATTGTGCTCTTAGTATCTCAATTCTCACTTGCACAGACATATATCCGTACTCATAATATAGCATTGATTGTAAATCTGACTACCAACTGTAGGATTTCTTCACTCGAAATGTGATTAACATTATTCAGTCATTTTAAACTGATCTAGGCCACATTCAACAGCGCGTAGAGCACCCAGTAACTTAACAGCATGGGATATTTGGCCAATGCACTTCCTGCACCTGAAGTGCTGTTATTATCAACCACAAAATAAAAATCTTAACCTCTTTGCAACACCAGTTTTAAACGTAAAATAAAACAAGAACCTGTGTCCATGTATCGAAAACTGGGGGGCGGCATTCTTTATAATTGTCTGAAACATCGCATAAGGTAGTAATTATTAACATTACCACCAAAGAAGTTTTGAAAATTACCATCCTGACAGTGGTTCAAGTTGTAAACTATTCTTTATATACTTCAGTTACGTAATAATTTAATAAGAAAATCAAGACATGTTAAATCACGGAATACCTACAAGAACGTTACGTCATGAATGTCACAGATTGCTTTCCTCTTGTGTACTCTTGACTATTCTATGCTAGGCGGCGCAAAGCAATTACTGACGTGCTTCGTCATTCACACACCAGTGGGAAATTCAAATTATGCTTCTTTCATCAAATGGCACAAGCGACACAAATATGCTGTAAAAAAATTAATTTCATCATTAAAATTTTAAGTAGGATTTGAGGTTTTCACGCCGGTGAATCTTCTGGGTTGTTGCACCGTGCAGTCTGGTAAAAGTTTACCGACGTTTCAGAGGTCCTTGCTGCCTCCATCATCAGGGTGATAATCAACTTACATAAAAATGTTCAAACAATTCAAGTCATAACATTTTTATTTTTAATGTTATACATGACACATTACCTATGCTGAATGAGGCAGCCAAAACAGGTACATGTATCCTGTATGAAGGTGTCAGATGCCATATCCATAATATTTGGTAATCTCAAGAGATCATATTAAAAACAAATGACAATGATGACAGGAACCAACTTTATGGCACTATTAGGCATTTTCATTAATTCAATATGGTTTTCCCTTTTTACTTCATTGAAGAGATGAAGAAATAAAGTGTAGTTACAGCCAAAAATCTTTGATTAGTTCTACAGTACTTGTACATATTTATTGGTGACGTTAGAATCATGTTAAGGATTGGTGAGATATACTTTCTTAAATTATCAGCTAAAATAAAATAAATGAAGGCATTAGTTTTAAACTAATTAATGATTTATTAAAGTGTAATAATGTATACATCACAACTATGACGGCAAACCATTAGAACAAAAGGCTAGTAACCTACTAAACACTTCTGAATTATAACCTTCAAGCAATGGTCTGCCTTTCACATACATGCAAGAGGTGAATAAAGGTATTCTTGGTAACATCCAAAATATATTTTTCTTTCCTTCAGTTCCATCAAGATCAAGCGTGTTAAGTTGGAAAACAGCAAAGTGAAATAACCTGCCATCTGTCTGGACACATTGAACAGTGATAGGTTCTGGAAGGTCTTTCACATTCACCTGAAAGCAATAAAATACATAAACACACTATAATTTATATTTAGTGGCACATAGTATAATCCATTTAATATGTGTGTCCCATATTATCTTTCAGACCAACTGAATGATTTTTAGATATGTTCACAACAAAGTTTAAAAAGTGCACCTATTTGCTTTGTCCATGTATTTGCAAGTAACAACAAAAGAACCATTTAAAGGATTTTCATAAAATTTTATATTGGGAGTTCTAATTCTGTGAATACTTCTTTTGTGCTAAACTCTGACATCCTGAAATTCAGCCTGCAAACTTCTAATTACTTTCCCTGGAGAACCACCACTTTTCAATTAGGTTTCATACCTGAACTCTTGTTTTAATGTTCATCTTATGTGGTGTTTGATACACAAAACAACATAATGACCACATATCTCAAAGGCCAAGAACAGCAGTACGAGTTAAAGCAACATGGGATTCAAGATCTAGGATCCATCCAACCTGAACACATAAACCCACTTCACTGCAGCTGTTCTGAGATTTTCTGTGGCATTCAGCACAAACCACTCTGTATTAATTTGCTGTGATTACTTATTTCTAACAAAAAACCAAAAAAAAAACTTACTCCAAATCTCTGCTGGGCATGAGCTGCAGCAACTGCAAAGGATTTAAGAAGTGTTCTACCTTGAACTTGCTCTTCTGTGACTGGAGTCTCATAAATATTCTTCACTTCAGTTTCATTGCAATGGAAGATAGCAGTATGAATGTAAGGAAATTTACTACCTTTGAGTACAGCTACAAATAAAAAAAAAAACACAGTATAAAAATGCTCAACAGTTGTATTTATGTCCATGGTACTTGATTTAAAATTTTGTAAATATCCATATAGTTGTAGAGATAATGAGAAAAAATGCAATTATCAGTGCACTGCATCTGTAAGCCACGAGAAAAAACATCAAGAGCTGCATGAGATTAGACATTTGAAGAAATTGTTAATATTCTCTGTTAGTGGCAATTTTTTGCAGCTCTTCTACATCTTACTGCAACAAAGCTCTCAAAAGTCATAATTTATCCCAGTTCTCTCTCTACATGCAGTTTTCTTTACTGTTATTATTGCCTCTCAGAACTTTAAATTTCATTTCTATTTACACAAAAAGCCTTAAATATACTACTGCCAGCACTGCCTGTATTTGAACTGTCAATCTGAATTGTTAGGTTTTCTTCCAGCACTACTGTATTACACACAATTACAACCACAATCAGACTTGTGAGAATGGAATATTTGTGGGAAACAATGGTGTTTTGTTATTTTCTTAGAACGAGAAGACTTCTACCATGATTCTTAAGGCAAAGCAACACAATGAATAAAATTATAACATTTACATTAATTAAACAAATAACTCTGGCACTAATAGTAATACTCCAATTAACTTAACAAAACTCAATACTAGCAGATCATAACTGAAATAAATCTAGGAATAAATTTTTAATGTTGGAAAATGCTCCTCACTTTACAAAACTTATCATTACACAGCACAACTGCAGTTCACACAAATACACAACACTTGATGGTACAAACATCTGTTAAGAATACTCTAAAACTTACGAAAGACATTTCTAATTTGATATATGTTCTCCTTCTCCAGAGTTATGGTGTGTTTTATTGGATACAGATCTGGCAATGGAATATCTTGAGTTCCCTGTACTTCATCAGCATCAGCATAAAGTGGCAGAGGTGCTGCAGAATTCAGCATGAAATTTACTGTTAATTCTAACTGTATAAGATCTCCATCCTTCTCAAATGGAACAAATACAGTCTCATCTTGCACCACAGCACGCCCTAATACAGCATCAGTGCTATTTCCACATGCAAACTCACACAACTGTATGAGTTTTGGAGACAACAGATTATATATCAAGTACGGTAGGGCAACACAAGTAATACTTTTAAAATGAAACTATAATTACTTATTTCAAATAACAACTTTGAAAATAATATCTGAACCATCATTAGTATGTGCAGCTGAAAATGTGGAAACTTGTATGATATTTAATCCATAGAATTGGCCACAACTTGGAAGAAGATAATCTACAAAAACATGCCATCATTAACAGATATACATAAATAAGGATCTTACGTTCGTCTCTTGTCAGTAATTCCATATCCTCTTGGAAAATTCCACGCTGGTCTTTGTGGATCACGGATTTTAGGCAGTTTCACTTGCATCGCATCAAAAACATGGGACTTCAGTATGCACCTATTTTAACAGCAGGATATGTGTTAAAAGCTTAACCATCAATGAATGCAAAAGTGTGTTGATAAACAGTCATTTGAACTTTCAACAATTTAAAACATCACCCTGCATAAAACTTGTATGTAATAACAGTGTGCAATGAGCATATAATTCACTAACCTCTGAACCAAAATGTCTTGATCTGGTAAACAATGAACTCCCAATAAGTTTTCTATCTCTACAGGTAAACCAGTCTTAATTTCCACTGTCTTAGTAAGAATCTTTCCTTGGTCTAGACCTTTTAAAAGAACATTATGATCTCTATACATATGACAGATTCTTTCATGATAAAGAGGATGTGTGAGATCACGTGGTATTGGTTTAGGCACAAGAGGTTTCGCTGTTGTCACCCTGAAAAGAAGCAAAATAATAATAATGAATATTTCATAATCTAGTCTTCATATAAGAATAAACATCTACCCACATAATCAAAAACCTTGTGCAGGAATGATAAAACACACTGAAGTTATGCTATGCTCACTCAGCCCAGCTTCTGCAGCAATTTCTAGCCACACGCATGAGACAGCCTCCTTACTCCCACATATGGCTCCTTGTGACATTTTGCCTGTTCATAGTGACAATAAAAAAAACTTCAGTTCAAGAAATGCTTCCAGCACTGACAGGAACAGTGAAACATGTATGTGCTCAAACAGCCTACTTTAAAACAGAATGTATAGCAGTTTAGTTTTCACAGATTCAGTCTCAATACCTTCTAACCAGCCCCCCATATGACAGTGCCTGACACCTAACATTTCAATTGTCTTTGCATTTTGAAATTGAAGATTTGTAAACTCAGTTCTTTAACATCATTTTTTAAGTTAGTATAACATTGTGTTCTTGAGATAAGTAAATGGAATGAGTGGTGGCTAATCACCAGAGGCCAAACAGTCCCAACCAAAATATGTGATCAAATCTGGTATATCAGAGGAAGAAGAAAAGAAAGAAGTGGGGGTCAATGTATGTTGAGTGTGGTTGTGAAGCCAAAGACCACATAGCATCACAACCCAGAAAACCACAATCAACATCTTTGCTGCCCTCAGAACCTCAAACCTGAGAATGAATACATATTTATAATCAACCTGTTAAATTACAATGTATCCAAAATATCTTTAATGATAATGTAATATTTTTATTGAGACTGCAGAAAATTATAATGTCTTGCACATTCAACTCAAGTTAAATAAGCTGAAAATGTGACACTACTTACTGCACCAATTGACGGTGTTCTTCTATAATGTCATTTGGTTCATATACAGGTATACCTCTGGCCTGAATTTCAGACTCTGCTTTAGTATCAACTGGAATTCGTTTAGACTGAATTCTCCAATGATACTTGAACATGCGTCCAATGTGTTGTTTACACAACACTGTTGTTAACCTCATTTTATGGAAAAGTCAACAATCTGCGATAAAGAACACTTTATATTCAGTACGATAAAACAAAAACTAGTATAGTGTTAAATCATAAATAGAATATGAAAGTCACAATCCAATTTCGAATAATACTTTCCACCAAAGACTTGATTCACCATATTATATCACGAGGTTTCAGATTAGCTGATTCAATATAGTAAACACGTAACTAACACATACATTTTACAATCATGTAATATGCGTCAAGCATATCCTATTTTGTTTTTCAATACTTACCCCCTACACTAAAACAAGAACATCAGTGTTTAAAAGCTATGATATAAACTTCGTATAACACATTGATGTTAAAAGTTTGTCACAAATTATTAAGTAAAGTTGGCACCATTGTCGGGTTCGTTCCATTGGTCGAACGCTGATTACGAAAAGCTGTTTAGTGGATTTTCTTAGGTTAGGTAATTTTTTTTTGACGTTTTGACACTTATGGCCACAATTCGTCACCCCTTACAGTAAATCACGCCTAGTCACGCTTTGTCACGATTGGACATGCCTTGTAAATACTAGTCACGTTTCGTCACTTCAGGCCACGTATCATCACGCGGTTACAGTAAGTCACGTCTTACCATCCTTTGTCACGTTTGAGCACGCTTCATCACGATTAGACATACTTTCAAATCTTCGTCGTATTTTAACAAATATGGCGACCTCTCGTCATTCCTTTACAGCAGGTCACGTCTAGCCACGCTTTGCAAATCTTCGTCAAGTACGATATATTTCTGATCCCTTGTCACAACGTGAACGCTTAGTCACGCTATGTCACGCTTGGTCACTAAGTCACTTTTCGGCACTCTTACGTGATGTTACGCATGGCTCGGTTAATTTTTGCTACTTGGCAACATGTTACATGAAGTTACGACAGGTTAAGTTATTATAGGTAGGGTTAGGTTAGGTTGGGTTATGTTAGGTAACGTTAAGCTGTTTAGTGGATTTTCTTAGGTTAGGTAAAGTTTTGTATATTTTTGTGACGTTTTGACACTTATGGGCACAATTCCTGAAGCCCTTACAGTATGTCACGTGTAGTCACGCTTTGTCACGTTTGAGCACGCTTGGTTACGATTGGACATTAACAAATATGGCCACCTCTCATCACTCCTTTACAGCAGGTCACGCCTAGTCACGCATTGTCATGCTTTGTGACGCTTGGACACGTTTTGTAAATCTTCGTCGCGTTTCGACATATATCGTGATCCCTTGTCACGAGGTCAAAGCAATTCACGCCTGGTCAAGCTATGTCACGCTTAGGTACGCTTGGTCACATATTGTAGAATTCGTCACCTTTCGACACTTATTGCCACAACTCGTCACACCGTTACAGTACGTCACGCCTAGTTACGCTTTGTCACGGTTTAGCACGCGAGCGCAAAATTGGTTGCAAAAAAGAAGCTTTGATGCTACCCCAGTCGGAGGTTACTTAATACTAACTGTAAAAACATGGAACACTGAACGGGATGCGATGAATATCACAACTGATGACGACAATGAAGAAACTAGGGACAAGGTGTGAGAATCCGGAAAGGGGAAGTGCCTTTTAAGTGTTTTCACAAAATAAAGGTTTTGCATTTCGAAAAAGATAGTCTTGAATTTCATGCGAAACGTCAATTATTCTCTGGCCTTTTGTTTCATATTTATTTTCAATTCATTATTTTGTAATCACGAAGATATTCAGAGCATATAAAATTAGGGAAAAGGTTGCTACTGTACATTTCAGGTTCGTTGGTATTCCCGTCTCATAATTATGTAATGTTATAAATGTATGTAGTACACATTATATGATGAGATGAAACCATTTGGGAGACCCAGATGGAAGGATAATATTAGAGTGCATGTTAGAGCAAGGATGTGAAAATGTGAGTTGGGTATTCGTGTTCCATAAAAATCGTGGAATTTCTTGAGTAGTTAAGTTGCACAAGCTTTACAGACAGAAGTGTTCTGCTGCACCAGAATATATGAGCCAAATAATCTGGTGACATGGCGCTCAAATCTGTGGAGAAAGGTGTCTTAGCAATGCGTAAAGGTTCCAGTCGTATCAATGTTCTTTTTAATAAAATCTAACTCTAAAATAACTCCATGTAGCAGATTCATTCTTGGAAGTTGATAGTCACTTAGTCAGTCAAAAAATTCTATAACTTTTAAGGAGCCCAAAGGTTCCTTACCGTGTTAACAAAAGCCTGCCACCGATTCCTAACCTGAGCCTCAGTTTCCTTAATATATTTTTAATATTACTCTCTCATGCATGTCTAGGTCGTCTAAGTGATTCCTTCAGGTTTCCTAATAAAATTTTTGTAAATATTTATAATTGATCAATGCATGCTACTGGAAAATTTTATTAGCGGTCCAGTGACTTGACGTATTAGCATAAAATTCGAGAAGTTTCGGATTCAATTCCAATCGTTGCCAGTAACGTTTGAAAATTGTTGTAAAAGAATATGGTAGTAGATCCAACTCCTGAAATGTCATGTAAGATATCAAATATATCACAATGAATATTTTTTTAAAAAAAAATAAGATTGTCGTAGATCTAATAGCATAATTACTACTGGAGGCAAAAGTCTGTTTTAATCTTAAAAATGCATTCTTTAATTGACATAAGTATATAATTTCAAATACTTCTGTCTGCAATGTGATTTCTGTTTTCACTGAAGCTGTCCAAAGATCGAAAATTCAGTTCATCGTTCCGAATAAAGAAACTTAGCATCGCTAGCCTGCTGAGCTGACATGAAAGTACATCAAAGAATTCAAAGCACTTACGCTGAGCATGCACTACTATCTTGTTTATTGTGTGTGCACTTTGATCATCAGTTTAAGTTATATGTATATAATTATATAGGAAGTCTTAAGTTTATCTGACTGCATTAGTCATCACTGACTACAGCCATCACAGTTAGGTGATCAATCACGTGGTCTGGGGAATGCATCTGATCAAATCCCATAAATTAGAATTTCTCAATCGATTTATCGCATTATAATATTACTTGCAGCTAAACTGGTCCTCGCCTAATTCTGACACCAATCCCCACTGGTTAGGATTAGGTTATTCCTTAACTATCCGGTTCCCTATATCTCTAGCGTTTTCCACTCGCACGGCTTACTCATCGCCCTGATGATGGAGGCAGCAAGGACCTCTGAAACGTCGGTAAACTTCTACCAGACTACCCAGAAGACAGCCATCTTCAGACTCACCGCCACAAAAACTTCAAATCCTACATAGTTCTCTTTACCAGCAAATTCTTCACCGACAACCATATTACAAACTTTAAAAGCATAATAAGAGAATAATTATGCACTGGTTACAAAGCCTACTACTCTGATGCAAATACGCCACGGCCACTTCACCCCAGTTCTCTCCACTTAATCGTTCATAGCAGTTATAACTGTAACATTCACAGCTCTCATGCTAGTTTCACGGGCCGCCGATCTATATAAATAATCGATAAAACAGCTATGTTCTGTCCCACATGCTTAGAGATTACGTAATATTTCCAGACCTTCAGAACTTGATGTGACAATTTGATTTGACGGATTTGTGCCACCTGCAGGCGCTTGAAGAAACATTCTAATTTCTGTACAGTCAATATAAACGTTCCGAATTTGTGGCAACAAATTGTAATAATGCGTAAATATCTGTCGTCTATACGCAGAAAATTTACTCAGTGATTAATTTATTTTGTACAGCTTTTCAAGACTCATTTCAATCAAAATACTTGAAATAACGCAAAATAAATAAGGTCATACATAAACATAATTAATTGTTATTTCATGGGTCTGTGTTTAGTTGTATCAAAACAGAATTCTTCTTCATATGCGTGGTGTTTGATCATCACATAAACTTCATTTAGAACAGCATTCCAGACAGCGTGTTCTTTATCAAGAAGACATGTTACAAGCACGAGACAAATTGATTTCACATAAAGTTTTTTTTTTTTACAGAAAACGAGAGTAAACGTTATACATCGGTTCTTCAGGTTTAACTATTACGGAAAAAAGATGCAGAACTGGTTTCTAAATCACCTTCTGTTTATGTCGTAGTATTTCGTATTGCACAGCAGCGGCTAAGCTGCTTGCGGAATATCATTTAAGAGAATTAGATCATGCACAATTAACCTTCTTTATCGTCCGAGATAATGAACGTTCTTGCAGACCGAAAAATACCTGTCATTCCTGTTCAATCACAGCTTCCAGGTCCTTTCATTCTCTTTTAAGAATAACCATTAAGCTGAGATTGCGTAATTTATACGCCATGTGCTTCATCCATGACCAAACCTGAAAATGCACGAGCCAGAAATGAGCTCGCATGCCCATGTTACGTAACCCCCACGCAAGACTGGTGATTCCAGTAAATCCAGTCTGGCAGACTACTTCGTTACGCTTTATTCCTTTTCTTTTTTTAAAAACGCCCACATGTATGTTTTAAAAGCAAATATTCAATCCTGCTACATAGTCTGGGACAAGGACTTAACTCAAGAACATTGAGAACTGTTAGGAAAGTCGGTCAGATCTATTGATATAGCCATACCTGGTCAACAGGTTGAAACTCACACTCCAACACTCCTTGACGATCACATGTATCTAAGACAGACAGGTTGTATTGTTCTCGAGAATTTAACAGTCACTCAGCCAATTATCGAATCCCCTGAATTTTATAAAAGCCAATGTTTAGTTTCTGTGTTCACAAGAGCTGACTACTGGTCCCTATCCTGAGCCAGATTAATCCAGTTCACATACTAACATTATTCTTTAAAGTCCATTTTAGTATAACCATCCCATTTACGACTAGGTCTTCCAAGAGGTTTCCTCCCTTCAGATTTTACAACTAAACATGTGTATGCATTTCTCGACTCTTACATGCGTGTCTCATGCCCCAGTCATACTTGATTTGATCAACATCCTAATAATATTTGGTAAAAATCGAAATTATGAAGCTCCTTTCTATGCAATTTCTTCCAGCCTCCTGTTACGTCATCAAAACATTCCC